TACATTGGTGTCTCTCTGGCTCTTCCTTTAGTGTTCTACCGGCTTTAGTGGAGATTCTTCTGTTCATAGCCGTTTTTGGACTGAAGAAGAAGCCTTTATGAAGGAAAGTCCGGATGTACGATGGTACAAACCGAGATTGGATATAGACATCTGTCAGTTTGTTAGCAGATATACTGTAGCTACAGAAAAAGAGTGGATACCAGACATATATCAGTACAAAACACCAACAGTAAGGAATGCATAAAACACACTTTTAAAATGTTTTTTAATCTATTTTTATATCATTTGAATAAAGTTGATGCAGCATACGTTTTTACCTTATGTCTATTTTTTGTATGTTGGAACTGGAGTGTTTTGTTTATATAGTGTGTTTGTAGTGTCAGTTACTCTGTAAAAGTAAATAAAGCTTGTAATTATTTTGTTGCTTTGGTTGTGTGTGTGTTCAAATTATTTCTTGTTCTAGTGCATCTACTGCAAAGTGTTTCTTGGTAAATACATTTAAGTTGTAATTTCTGTTGAAATAAATTGAAATTGAGTTAAATTATTTAATGCTAGCATAATTACACACTTGTTCTGAACTGTACCATGAAGTTCTACTTTTAGAAGTCCACAAAACATATAAACATAATGTATATAACGTACGTGTGTGTGTTTGTGTGTATTTAGACGATAGAAATGTAATTGTAATGCAAACACATAATTGTGTTTTATAAATGTTTCGATTTGAACTTTAGTGGAATCAAACAACCATTATTTGGATTTTTATTCTTTTATTGCTTTTTTTTTTTCACCCGGAGAGCTCATGTGGCTCCTCCCACCGGTCCCACCTGACTTTAGAGCCGGGTAATCTGTTTTTTAGTTCTTAGAGCCGGGGCAGCTAGCTGGCTCGTCGAAGTTAAATTTAATTTACTGGTGCTTCGTCACGGAGACTATAATTAAGTATTACAGTATGGGTATGTATTGCATAATTATCAATAGACACATCGTCAGCACAGACATAGATGTGCAGATATCCTCAGTCTCAGTGTGCAGTATGTCTTATAGTCCTGTGTAGCTAATGTTAAATGTAAACCACGCTAACACAGATTTCTTTCTTACAGTCTAGCAATGCCAGCATTACTGTAAAGTACCAGAAAAGTTTTTATGTGCTGAGCATTTAGGAAATTATATTAGAGGGGTGTTTTGGTGCAGATGTGAGTTGATTAGCACAGAGCTAACAGCTATACGTGGGAAACGTTATGCGTGAACACTGACGTGGCGTTAAGTTCCAAGGCGTATGACTGCCCAATTCAAACGAGATATGACATTTAGAACCATCGTTTACTTTCGGTTGCATTACAGTTCTATACTAGATAACTCTTTAGCCTCAGATAGCCTCAGGTTTTGTCCAGATGACAGTTTATCTCTGTTGTTTGTAGCGGTGAACACCGGAACCTCCCTGGTGCTATCCAGTCTGCTCTCTGTGCTGGTATTCGCGGGGATGCAGATGTTCAGTAAGCAGCTGGCATCCACCGAGTGGCTCACCATCCTGGGAGGTTTTCTGGGCTCAGTCCTCTTCATCTGCTCCCTGACTGTATCCTTTAAGTGACATGTAGAGTTGAATTGCTTTGCCAATGTTGTTAATCAGTAAACTGCACAGTTCTTTTGGAAATCGGTATTTATTGAACAACTTTCAGACTTTTATTATATATTCTCCATAAAAATGTATAGATGTCACTGAGGAGAGTCGCACCTTAACTTTGGCTTCAGGCATTTAATAATCTGGAAAATTTGGTTTTCGGAAAGGGATTCCAGGCCAAGATATTCCCTGAGAGTAAGTGATGATGGCCCATGCAGTGGCCTTTTTCTTGTTCACATGGTGTTTAATATTTCTGCTGAGTTAACTGTTAGCTCAGCTTTACCTGAAACATCAGAATTGTTTATACCAAACTCTAGCCTAAATAATAGGTGGAAATCTTGGTTGAGGTAAAGGTCAGAGGTTAGAGAAGCCAGGTAACCCAGATCGCTGGTTTAAGTCCCTGTTCAGGTGAAGTGATCTTCTCTAAGATGTTTGATTTTGTACACAAACCTTGCAAAAAATAATCAAGAAGCAAAAGCCTGACTAAATTAACAATAATAAAGCTAAATTGTTCCTCTCAATATATAGCCGCTGTATGCTGGTTTCTGCAGGCTGAAGGCCAGCGGTCACTACAGGAATCAACATCTGCAAAGTAATTTAGTGTAACACAGTTTACATGCAGTTACAGTGGTTTGCTTCTGATTGCCACAGCAAAACCTGTTCAGGGTTTTTGTGCCTGTTAAAATGCTAATTATAAATACTGTTCCAATCAATGTCAGTAACACAGTTATTACAGTAAAAATAAGCTGAAACATTCACCGAAAATGCAACGTCTTCACTAAATGTCTCACTGTCGAGTTCATGTGCAAATATAAGAATCTCCTCAGAAGAAAATGTAAAGTGCTTATTTGATAAGGAGCATTTTTTTAATGTTGTTAGGTAGTCCTAAAATAAATTAAAACATTAAAAAAATCATTTTAATTATATTAAACATCTTGCTGATGTTAAATCTACCACGTCAGGTAAACCAGAACAACAAAACATTTGAGCTAATGGAGAGAATAAAAGTTAGATAAATGTTGACTCAGACAACGAATTTAGGGTGCTGCTGCTGCTGCTGCTGATGATGATGATGATGATTAGTAGTAGTAGCATTTATAAGCGGCAGCTGGTTTCTGTGTGTGCTTTAGTTAGCCAAGGTAAATAAAACACAGCACTGCTACTAGACTTGAGGTAAGCTCCTGCACTACCTCTGTGCAGGAGGGCTCTAGGCTTCCCACACACACACACACACACACACACACACACACACACACACACACACACACACACACACACACACAAACAAATCTTTTGACTGGTTAGGCAAGATGCTAGTTTCAATGAGCTGAGTCTACCCTCTGGTCCAGATTTGCGTATCATCATGACAGCCAATGCAAATTTAAAATAACATTCTAACATTATTACCTCGATGCACATCTGTAGGGTCATATTAATGCTCATCACTTATATGATTTACTGTGTCATCTTGCAGTTCTGTTGTGTCTGTGCCTTTCACTGTTTGCCTCTGGCCTGGTACACCGTGTCTGTGTCACTACTTGGTAAGTGACTCCTCTGCAGAACACGTTTACCCAAAGCATCTAGAAAGCACTTCTAAATGTATTTGATTATTAAAATACTTCTCTTTCTTTTTTCCTGTTCAGCCTCATCTTTTCCCTCTTTGCCCTGTACTACATCAACAAAGTGTCTGCTGCCCTCTACCAAGCAGCTGTTCCTGTAGTAACACCAGCCAAAGCTGGCAGCAAGAGCAAAAGGAAGAACTAAAGAGCCCACTGGATCACAGTTGTATCACACTTCGACCAGTCATTATTCCCCAGGTGCTGGTGGTCATTGCTACACAGCTGAATGCACAGTTTTGTCACAATGATCCTTTGTTATTAGGCTTTTTTTAGGTATATAAAATTTGGTTTGGGGTTATTATTTTAAGTCATCATTTCATTGAGTACAAGCCTGTAGTAGTTAATCTGGTCCTTTGTTTGTGTATTTTTTATTTTATTTTACAGTTCTCTTAAATTTGAATCACAAAGAAATGGTAGATATAAGGCCAAACGTGTTTTACGTTCCATCCCTTTCTAATCAGTGCTCTTTTTAAAAAGGTTGCAAAGAGATTCTTTCCTCCTGTGTATTCAGTTTTCTTCTGTTTTGTTTTTTCAAATCCATTTTTGTAATTAAACTTTCTGAAAGACTTTCAATGTGTTGTGCTTCCTTCTACCTTTGCTCAGTTTGTAATCTGCAGTCTAGCTGTGTGGGGATGTAATAAAATCATGCAGTGGCATATGTGTAAATATTCCTTGTGCAGCCATTCCCATAGTCAAGAGTGCTGCAGCCCACTTATTTTTCTGTTATATACTGAAATATGCATTTAAAGAGGACAGCAGTGGTGTAAAGGTTAGCAAAAGTACTGGTGGCTCTAGTGGTAACACAAGAGTTTAAAGTTTTATTAGTTTCCACTTTTCTCTCAGCTAAATTTGTGTCTGTGTTTCAATTAGTTGCCAGATTGGGTTTGATGATTTTGTTTGAGTTTTCCACTTTTAGGAAACATTTAGTTTTTATTAGCATCAGTAGGAAAGTTAATGGGTTTTTTTTATGTTTATATCGATGAGATATATGCTAAGAGAGTAATTTTACAAGTTCAGCACAGAGAATTTAAGGACAACACTTCTTCAAGGTATTTGATGCGGACACGGAGAGAGCCTTGACTGAATAAATCATGCAACAGTTTGTCTTCATGCTTCTTCGACCAATGTAGTAACAGTTTTCTTTCAGCTTTGCAAGTAAACAATATTGTTTAAGATTTCATTTTTCTGTTGATCATTTAAAATTTTTCATTCAGTTTTAAGTTTTACTTCAGTTTTCAGTTAACCATAACAGTCTTCAGGCCGTTCACTCCTCATCTCCTTGGAGAACAGGAGAGAGTGAAATCACAGAGGAGCTGTTGAGCAAGTTTTAAAGGAACTGCCAAGTGACAGTGAAGGGTCAGTTTGAACAGGCTGCTCCTGCAGTGCTGCTGAAAGCGGTATCTGGGAATAAACTCGCAGTGGAGATTGTCCATTGTCCACAGCCTCACACTCCCTTCCCCCGGCTCGCCTTGTTTCGGGAGAGCATCCTGCTGCTGTCATGTATCCAGGTGTGCCGACTGTTACAGGTAAAGAAGACGGCCCAGTGCAGACTTGCTCAGTCTTAGCAGGTCCCATCATGCATGCGTTATTCTGCTTTGTGCCATCTTTTGTTTTACTTGCATGATGAAACACAAACAGTGTAGATTTTTGTGAGGTAGCATCGTCATGTCAATGCCTTCTACGTCTTGCAGTAACTGTGGGAAAAAGGGACAGTGTTCCTTTATTTGCTCTCCCTGCCTCTCTGTATCCCTCCTCCCTCCCATCACTTGGGCGTTGCCTAGATGACTATAAAGTGTTGAATAAACTTTCAGTCAGCCCACGTCTAACTCCACTTAAGCTCTGCCACAGTTTCTGCATCCTCGTGATCCGGTAAGGCTATTAAAACTTATTTAAAAAGTTAGAAAGTTGTTTGTTTGTTTTTTCCTTTTTCCATTGAATGTTACGTTGGGTGGGCTGAGGTGCTGTTGGTGCATTACGTAGGGTTTTCCTCCTTTGCTATGCCAGGAATGGGTGTCTCCAAAAACGTTAGGCCTATTTCTCTCTAGTCTATCTTTACTGTGTGTCTGCGGGCCTAGTTTTTTCTTTTTCTGAAACTGAAAAGTTTATAAAGAGAGGGGAGGTAGAACCCATATACGGATTTTGGGTTTGGGGCCAGAAGGTGATTTGTGCCAGAAGAATTTGCTTTGAGTGCCAGTAAAAACCAACACCCACATCCTCTTCAAACAATGTGCTATAACCTAATGCTTGGCTGCATTTTTCACTCATTTTTCTCCAGTGTGAATGTAACAAGCCAACAGTAAAAGTAAAAAAAAAACCCTGTTATATTTATGTCCATTCCTGCCTTTTGTCCTTTCAGCACTCATTTCTGCAACCATGACTGACTTGGAGAAATCCATGGATTCCATGATAACCGTGTTCAACAAGTATGCCCATGATGGCAAACACGGAAAGGCCTTAACCAAGAAAGAACTAAGAAAACTAATTGAGGCTGAGCTTCCCAACTTTCTGAAAGTAAGGATCTTTCTTGCTATCATACCTGATCTCTATCCTCAGTGTGAATCATTGTCCATATTTAAGTTAAAAATGTTATTGCTCATGCGCTTTGCACCCTGAACTTGTCTCTTGTTACATCTGTTTCAGACCCAGAAGAATGCCAACTCCGTGGACCATATCATGAAGGATCTGGACCAGAACAAAGATGATGTCTTGGACTTTGAAGAATTTATGCCATTCATCGCCGGCCTCACAATGGCCTGTGAAAAATATTGCTCCATGTCTGCTAAAAAGAAGTGAAAGAACTGATGTGCAAATACACTGTAAGAGAAAATAATGCTTGTCTTTTTTTTCTTTCTTTTTTTGTAACAGATAAAGTTGATTGTGTTGCACAACTGTGTGCCGGATTTACAAGTAAAAACTGCTTTTGACAAAATTTCCCCGACTGTGTGTCTGGCTACTTTGTTGTAAATTTTATTCAAAAACATTGGGTATGCTAGAGTTTTAGTTACTATCTGATAGCTGACTTCTGCAACACATTTAAAACTAGAAGCTGGATTTGAAAGTAGTGAGAGTATTCATGAATTAATATCTAATGTGCATCATTTCACTTCTCATCGAAAGTTCAACTGAGGCAGCAGTTTCTACACAGCGTGAGGGGGTAACTGCTTCGATACGGGAACGTGTCAGGATCAGATGTTTGTGCTAAAAAGCCTGAAGTGTGGTGCAGCACACATGCCTGTGAGGCGTGAGCTCATGATTTATTTAGGGTGGGTCAAATAAGTAACATTTTTGGAGATGGTGGAGTTTCGCTCACAGAACTCCTCCAGATGAGATACAAACTGCACTTTTTGAACTTGGTGCAGATCCATCTGGTAAACATTAACTACTTGGCTCATTACAAGTTTGGAATTCCACCTTTAAACTGACTGAACTCCAGTTCAGTAAAAATACAAATATATTGTGCACACAGGCATACACACTAAGTGAACGTTAACATGCTCATTACACTGTGAAGGATCTCTCTTACTGCAAACATATCAGACCACCCTTGGCCTTTGCAGTGTTTTCAGTCTGCCAACTCATCAATATGTTCTGTGTGCTTCACAGTGTAATACAGTAATGCCCTTTTGAGAGTTCATTTTAAAATTATTTTATTTGTTTTGAAGTCCTTAAACAGTCTCGCCCTGCCCTATCTCTCTGGGCTGCTGCACTCGGACTCCCCTTCCCTAAATAATCTTGAGGAGATTGAGGTAAATAAAGTTAACTGAGAAATGTTAACTCCAGTGTATAACTCAGATTTATGCTCGTTCTTTTTTTCAGAAATCATTTGCACATCTTCTTTTTTGTTTGTTTGTTTGTTTGTTTTTTGCAAGGGGTTCTTCTTCTATTCTTGAACTTAAAAAAAAAGACAGATCATGATTTTATATTAAATGAAGCCACCAAGGAATATAAAAAGAAGTCCAACTCTGGATTGTAAGGTGGCGAAAGATTTACCCTCAGGCCCCCCCTCGAGATGGTCTTTCCCTTTTCACATATCATTATGCAAACGTACTGTTTATAAGATTGGGGAAACCTGCAGTCAAGTTTCGCCACTCTTATAAACAACAGTCAGCCTTCGACTGAAGAAGTCACTTGGATGATTGACGAAATGTTTCTCCCTCTGAAAACGCTGCGTCCATATGAACAGAATCAAACTTTGGGGATTTACTTACCTGGATTCTTCATGCATCAAGAAGAGGATGGATGGGTGAAAAGTTTGGAAATCTGTGAGTAAAAGTGAATTTTAAAAAAACACACACACTAAAATGGTCATGTGATTTGTTGTAATGCTATGATACAAGATGTAACTCTTTCTATATCAAGACATTTTTTGTAGCCACACAGTGTCGAGTCCATGCTTTACTGAACTGAAATGAGTCAGGTGACTGCTGCATCCTGTTTGATTTATTGCTTTTGAAATCTGACACATTTTGGGATAAATAAAAAATGAAACGCACTGGAATTGACTGGTGGAAAGTTTTGATTTGACATATTTTGATTTGACCAGAAGATGGTGCTACAGTGTTTGGAATGAAGACAGGCAGCGATGCAGGCGACAGAGGATGTGCGTGTAACTTTTAGGCCGTGCATGGCTCCATTTAAACAGCAATGTTTAAACCAACCATAATGAATAAATACATTTACATTTAAGAAGTCCTGAAACACTGTGTAGTCTAAACTTCAGGACTGCCAGACAATGAAAAAAGAAGCAAGCCTCGAGGAAAACAGTGTTAAGCGACATCAATTTAATATACAAATTTTGGATTTTATATTTGATTTAATAAGTGTGCTTGGCCGATATATAAAAAAGGTTAATAACAGTGTTTCATGCATTTCATTGATGCATGCACTAAATAATAAATACAGTCACAGCACTGCTGCGTCAGTGTTTTGCTATTGCTTGCTCATCATGTTGGTAAAACAAAATTGGAACAATTTCAAATTCAGTTCTATCCCTACCTGCCGAAACATTCCTGAAAGCCAATTAGAGAGAGCTGGTTCACTCAGTGATTCTTCTGTTGGTTTTTCTATCCCTCTTTCCATCCTCAATTAAGAAGAAGCCCTGTTTTCAGCTCTGAGTTGATGTATTAGGGCAGATGTAGTTGCATTCGGAGGATAGTGGATGTTTGGAAGTACATGGAGTTGAAAAGGAGCACACACGAGAACAGAAAAGGCATGAAAAAGATGAGATAAAACTATTCTTTTGCTCAGATCTGATCACTTTGCCCCATTGAACCCTTAATAACCTCTTTACCTTTGGCTGTAGATGCTGTAAGTGGGAAGAATGACTATATGAAAAAAAGTCTAACCTTTAAAACTCAAGAAGTTACTAGAAGCAAAGATGGATTAGAGTTATACCTGGATTGACCCAAGGAGGTCTGGTACTGCTGCTCTTTGTCAATACAACTGGATTTAACTGACTAGATTAAACTGATGACTGAAAAAAATTGCTTTGAACTGATAGCTATGCACACGCTTTATCAGGTCTCTGTCCATGTTTTTTCATTAATGGAAAATAGACTCTTTCTTATTTAGCACTTTATGCAACATGCCTCATGAGAGCAACCTGGAGTTAATATCTTGCCCAAGGGTATTTGGCATGCAGTCTGGAGCAGCCAGGAATTGAACCACCAACCTTCAATTTGGTGTGAGCAGTGATCACCTGCTCTACCTCTACTTGAGCTACATAAAAGATGAAAAAAATATCTGAGAATAAAGATGACTATGATCAGTTACAGTGGGGGATGTACAGCATACATCATTAAGAATGATTTTTTTTCACATGTAAACTAAATGAAGTGTTTTCTTGTGTTTTACCTTTACGGTAATCTAAAAGTAAAATATAAACTTGAAGTAGAAAAAAATGACATAAGGCAATAATACACAATTGCTCCTCTTGCTATTGTGTATTGAGGTAAAGCGAAAGACCTGTAACAGTTATATAAGAACTAGTGTTGAAAAAGAGATAAACATGATTCACATAATGCAGCTGCTTAAGGTTTAAACTATCTATTGCAGAAAAAAATGTGATGATTAGAAGGTTGAGTGATGAGCTGTGACACTTTGATGTGCATGTACATTATTTGCTAGTGTTGACACATAACACCATTACTGGATTCACTCAGGGGCGTTTGTGCAAACCAGAATGCAGAGGAACCTGTCCCTCACACCAATTATTTTGAGGAAAACTCTAACACACTTTTTTTTGTTTCAAGCTCCAATTAATTCCAATGTTGTTGCAAGTTCTAGCAAACGTGGCTTGTTGCTTTTCTGGACAGTACACACTCTACTAACAGAAAGCATTTTCACTCCAACCATCAGCTCGTAATGTTACTCACTAACTTAAATAAGTTATTTACATAACTATATAGACTGTTCGCTGTGGCCATTAAAAAAGTGGTCATACGGATCCTGTTTGGTTAACGATCCTTAAAATATTTCTTACTGGCTGTCAGATGCCTTTTATTCAAGACTGGTGTTGCTCTTACAGATGATTAATTGATGGAGTGCTGATGAGATGGCCATGCATCTCGTCTTTGTAGAGGACTTCTGGAGCTCTGCTAGAGAGAGCTTTGTGTTCCTGGTCACCCCAGTGGCAAAGGCTTCTCTCAATCACTAATTCCTTTTGAACAGCAAACTACAGTGCTGTGCAAAACTCTTGATTTTTCAATCATTTTCAGTCCAATACTTGTACCTGAGCATTTTCACACCATTGTTTCCTGTTTGTATGTTTGTTAAGTCCCTTAACATTGACCGTTGAATCATTCAAGCATAAAAAAAACTAACCAGTGTTGTGTCTACACATAACAGAACACAAGAACAAAATCTAAATTATTGGAATCAAGGACAAAAGAAGACATGACAGGCCTAAAAAAAGAGTTCATGAATGTATGAGAAGGTCATGTTCTTAAGAAACAGGAAAAAAATCTTGCAAAGAACTGACACAGGAGCCAAGAAAAATACACCTGGACCATGAGTTGAGACATCTATTGTTCACTGAAGCCTCATCAGAAATGGTCTAAGTAGAGGGGCAGGTGTCAAGGAGCCTTTATTAAAAAAGGGAAACGGGAAAAAAAGACCGAGGTGTGCCAAATTACACAGGCACTGGACTGAAAATCAGCAGCAACAAGTCTTATAGAGTGGTTAATTGAAATTGAAGTTTTTGGTTCAAATTGCCGTCACATATGTATGGAGGAGGTCAGGAGAGAGGTGCAACAGTGAGTGTTTACAGCCATATACAAAACACGGTAGAGGCTATGGAACACTCAAAGTGCCAACATCACCATTGTTGAAGCAGTGTGGGATCCTCCTGACAGAGAACACAACAAAAGGCAGCCAAGATCCAAAGAAGAGCTTTGAATGTCCTTTAAGAAGCCTGGAGAAATATTCCTGAAGACTACTTACAGACATTACAAGCTCTGAAGCTCAATAAAATTTCTCCCTTTTTGCTTTGTACACTATAATCCCATGTATGTTTGCAAGTTTCAATAAATTGCTGCACCTAGTTTACATTTTCCTAGCAAAGTATTTTTTAAAATGAGGGGTGGCTCAAACCTTTGCACAATACTTTAAGAGTTCTGCAGGTCAGAATCACTGAGGCCAGTGTGTTTTCTGAAAAAAGCATTAGAAATGATTTAATGCCTTTGCTGTAATCATTTTAACTGCAGGGGTCTATAAAGAGTATCTGCACCTTCTGGCTTGGTTATTGAAAAAAGGTCTGCATCCTATTTCTCTTTTACTCGCTGACATAGTTTCACTTTATCATTTTGGGTCATTAAATGTGGACTGATGTGAAAATGCAGATTTTTTTATATTAAATCTATAAAAAAAAAATCACAAAAAAAACAAAACGAAGCAGTCTGAATGTTACACAAAGGGTATTTTATACAGCCACCAT